AGGAATGCTCTGACTGATAGGAGAACTTTTCATGTTTGATAAACCAGTTCAGAAGTTGAAAATATCAGAGAAGCAAATGCTTGCATTTCATGGTCAGGTTTTTTTTTCCAGTTCATTGGTTAGGATGAGTTTTTAAATCAGAGCTGGTAATATACTTATGTAGGAGGAAAAAAAAAAAAAAGAAAACCTAAGCATGTCAGGCTTGAAGTTAAAATTGCATAGTAGTTAGCAAAGACTATTCTTGTTTGTAGATACTGCTGCTAATACTTTAGAATCTTAATTTAACTTTTTCTTTTTTTTTCCCCCCCCTCTTTCCCCTTAAAGGAGCAATATCGCTTCTGCTATGATGTTGCGCTGGAGTACTTGGAATCCTCTTAGTCGGAATGGATGTGACAAAGTTCACCAAATACATGAATCTCAATAAGCTGTTTTGACAACAGTTCTTGATCCTGTGAAGAAAGATTTTAGGGGAAGAGGGGGGTGGGAGGGATTTTAAATTTTAAATGCAAAGTATTTTTCTTATGAAGTTGTGTATCTTAATAAAAGAACTCAATCTGTTTCTATGCTTGTATACAGTATCAACATTTAGTGCCACATAAATACTATTTAATGAAAACCAGAGTCAGAAGAGATTTGCGCAAATTAGGACTTTTCAGTGTTTGTATATGCAGCCGTCTCTCAATTACAGTAGAGCGACCATCTGTTGCATGTATCAATATTTCCTATATGGTATTAATTTTTCTTTTTTTTCTTTTGATACGTTGTAAAAGTACAATAACAGTGCAGATTGATAGTAAGGTTCATTCTTTATACGTTTCAAGTGTTGCATATATATATTATATATAGTAAAAAAAAACTGGCTTATTTTGTTTTAATGTGCAATGATGGCTGGATCACGTAAAGATCTTTATAAAGAAACTTAAACATAAGCCAAAGACTCAAGTGTAAATATGTCTATATGGAGAAAGCACATGTATTTATTGTTTACTTGCATTCCTTTTTTGATGGCTGAAAACAGAAGAATCATTTTTCTTGAAGAAAGCTTTTTTTGCTGAAATCAAGTGTAAACAATTTTTGTAGTTTATTTTTTGTATGTTTTAGTGTAAGTAGAAGACATACTTTTTATGCATAGACCAAGAAACATTCGTATAGTGGTTTTGTTGTGTACATGCTTGTGATTCAAACCCATGTAAACAGCTCAGTTATAGAAGGTCTTTAACTACAGGACCAAAATCAAAACATTTTCCTGAAAATGTATAGTTTTTCACAGTTGCGTTAGTTAAGTACTGATCAAAAATCTATGTAAGGAAGGGCACACATCAAAACGGCCTTGCCTACGACTTGCACAATATTAGAAGAAAATTTCAAGCACCATTAAAACTGTAAGGGATCCAATTGTTTAAAAAAATATTGAAGCACAGGTCAACAGGAGAACTGCCAGACAAATAGATGGCTCTGCATATGCCCTTGAGGGTAAAAAAGTATTTGTTTAGCAAACTGTAAAATTAAGCAATGTTTATTTTGATGTTTACGAACATGTAAGCTTTGCTTCCAAGAAAGCAAAATTTGAATAAACCAATGCCAGATTCTGATTATAGTTGTGGTGTACAAAATAATTACTGTGCTTTCGCTTAGCTTGTATCCATTTGTTCACAAGGTTTCCTATATTTTACCAGCTAAAATCATTCCAGTCTCTTGATGGTCTTTTTTAGAACTGACAGTAAAATGATAAGGTGCTTTTAAATAGTCTGTAAAGTAAGAGTGAATTAAACTTTTATTTAAAGATTATTTTATATTATTTCCTATTTGATACCCTCTCACTTACTGTCCTTGTTAAGGAGTCATTCTTGTCCGGCAGAGCGATATATTTGGATAAGGAAAATTATATTATTTTTCACCTCAGTGTTTCAGGGAGTATTTGAGAAGACTCCACGTCATCTGTATGCCCTACGTTTCTTCCTTTACTCCAGACACATGAAATTACCCATCCAACACTATAAATGGCAGAGAAACGGTTAGAGAAATTCTACTTCTCAGATTTTTTTCAGTGCCCCCATCTGTATTGCATAGCTCAACCTCTTCCAGATCTAAAAAAAAAAGCGTTTCTCTTTTCTCACCCTTTGTTAGTTCCAACCTGTGAATGGCAAGGTAAACCAAACAGGTTTGAAAACATTCACTGGGTCTGGGTTCTTGATACTCAGAATTGCTCTTTTCTTTCTTTTGCCGTGTCAGAAAGGGGATCGTAAGCTGCGTGCAATACAAGTGCAACTTTCCCAGCCTTCCCTGTGAGGCCGCGGCATGGGGCTGACTTTGGCAGTCAGAGCGCTGGATGTAGCCCCTGTGGCTAGCTCTATGGTCACCGCATTTTGTAGAGACAATGCAGCATCTCCACAGACCGATTCATCCTGCCTGTTAGACGTGTCTGGGATTAAATTAATTGGACTCTGGAAGAACCTTCCTCTGTTGTCCATAAAGGCTGCTGAGGAGATTAGATTACTCTAGAAGTCTAGATCGATTTTTTTGACAGATGAGATGAGTAGCTCTTAGGGTTGTGGAATGCAAAAGCCACGTTCTGTACTGACCAGAGTAATTTTTGGTTTTTTCTTTCCTGACCAAAAATACAGCATTGCCGTTAGGCTGGATGAATAGTAATTTTCAGGGAGAGCTGCTGTGTTGGGGACAGTGGGGTCCATTCCCCCTGTGCTTCATAATCCTTGGTAAGATCTTTGTGTCCCGTTTCCCCTGTATGTTAAGCATGAGTGGTGCAGATGTCAGGATGAATCCTGGCATCGCAGTGCACTGTGCCTGCCCAGGAGTCCTCTGTGGGAGCATCCCCCTCAGCTGGAAGGTATTATAACTGCCAGTGGTTATTCTGCAAACGGGAATTCTGCCTATGTTGTTCTAGTACTCTGAGAGTCACGTAATTTCTGTAACCGTAGCTGACTGTGGTGACCTAATGAGCTCTTGCTATAGCTCAGGATTGAACAACTCATGGGAAGTTCTTCCTTGCAAGGCCAGGGGAAAGTATGCAGAGGGAATATGGTGTGTGAGAAGCAGCTCGGAAATACCATTAATGGTAGATCTTGGGGGTCTCTCAGGCAAAAGGCAATATTAGAATCGCCTTCTAACTATAAAATCAGGAAGAGACACTTTGCTTTCATTGTGGCAGCTCTGTTCCACTGGGCAGATGCTGCTCCGGTGCCCTTTTCTTACACCTGTGCAAGACAGAAGAAAGAGAAGCGGGACTGTGAAAACCTGCCCCAGGGGGAGAACAGGTATTGCTCGTGAAGGGAGTGTGCAGTGGAGGGAGAGAAATCTTCCCAACCTTGGGCACTTGAAGAGGAAAATATTTTACTCCCTGAGGCAGTGAAAAGTCACCAGCGCCAGCGTTGCAATGTGTCGGCAGCTCCTGCCCTGGAGAAGTCCATCGGTTTTGAGACTCCCGCTCAAAATCTTCCTGCTGGCTACTGCCTGTGCTGAAATATTAGCATGGACTTGGTCAAGTGGTTACAGCCTGCAAGATTCACAGGCTCTGCTTTCCTCAGCGACATGAAATGGAGACAGGACCAACACAAGCAGTAAATACGGAGAGAGCAAGTGGGCATCAAGTCAGAATACAAAAAGGAGGCAAAGAAGACTTTATCCGTGGAGAAGTGTGTGATGATTCAAACTTCAAATGAATGAAGTTGAAACTGATCTAATGTCACCTAACAAAAGGAACCAAAGGGGTGTACAAGGTCCCAAAAACATGATTGCTCTGGGTGAGAAGGAAGGTATTCTTTGCTCTAAAACTGACAAGTGATGACTCCAGTGTCCTAGTCTCCATAGTTGTTAGTGGAAGGAGTTCTGAGTGTCACCTTGATGGCTCTGGTTCATTTTCTGTAGAACAGTAACCAAAGAGGTAACTTAGGGTTGTGTTCAAACTATCTGAATTTTCCCTAAATAACCTGATCTTAGGATCCAACACTGAAGAAAAGTATCAGGCCTCAAGCACCTTGAATCCTTGGAAGAGTCTAAAGCAGTGTCATGGAGGTCAAGGTTTGCTAAAACAAGAGCACCCTGTAAGGAGAGAGGCTTTTCTTTTTTTTTTTTTTTCCCTTTTTTTTTTGTAGAAAAATGTTGATGTGTTGTAAGGAACTAAACCCATAGTACATTACTGAGATGTTCTCTGCTACTGTCTAGATGACAAAAGAACAATAAACCTTCTTCTTATCAATTATGAAAAAAATATCTGCCTTAGCTCCGGTCCTGAGGACTAGGTCAAGGTGTGCTAAAACAAGAGCACCCTGTAAGGAGAGAGGCTGCTTTTTTTTTTTTTTTTTTTCCCCTTCTTTTTTTTTCCCCCCCCCAGCCCCCTGAATCTGCCTTCCCTGATCCTAGTGACCCAGCTGCACCAAGCAGGTGTAGAGAGACACAGTTTTTGAACTTTTATCCAGGTCCTGAGAGATCAGACCCCAGCTGGTTGATGAGCTCCTAGAATGTACATTTCCTGCTTCCTGGGTAAATGCTGCCATCAGGAAACAACAGCTTTGAAATGGGCTTTGCCTTCCTGGAAAATGGTCACAGGCATAATTGTGAAGCTTGAAGCTTTGTATGCTTAGTATATGCAACCAGTTACTGGGATTTATTTCATTCAGAAAGTTGCTCAGATAATAGAATTATGTAGTTTATGGTAAGTCCTTGCCCTGCCCAAGGTACTACGTTAAGAAACGTAATACTCTTTAGAGAAACATGGGAGCAAATGCTTCTGCAAGAGTGTGCTATCCCAAAAGGGTTAACAATTTCCAAAATCAAAGGTCTAAAAAAGCAAACTGGGGAAGCAATGGTGGGCAAGTGCTATGTCATTGAGCCTCCAACGTGAACTGAAACGTTAAAGGACAAGGAAGGGGCAGCCTGAGAAAAAATGTTGCAGAATCATTGCATGGCCAGGCCACCTGGACTGGCAAATGACTGTATAAAGGGCCTCTTTTAAGCTTCATTCTGCTGCTGTGTCAGAAGAAACCCTGAGATCTTGAAATAAATGTAAAGGCTGCTTTTGTAGTGCCCTGCTCTGTACTGAAAAGTAACTCATTTTCTGCTGTACTTTCCTGTGTCACGTAGAGGTCTGAATTGAGTTAAGCGATCCTAATCTCACAAAAGAACCTTTGTGGTGGTTTATTGCGAGTGCTTTTCCTTTGTTGAACAGTCAAAGGTCTTGTAACCTCTGCAGATTCAGGATAGTCATGGGTATCTGTGAATATTCACTTCTGTCTTTACATTCTGAGGTTGAATAATCTGCTAGTAACAGATTGTGTATACTGAGGATGAGGCTTTCAGAATACATAGAGGCTTAGTCTTATAAATTTCCCTTTAACTTCATGCAGCAAAATCTTGTCTTC